CGGCCCAGAAGTGAATTGTCAGCATGCCAGGGCGGATTGCAGAGGTCTAGAAAAAGAAGGGTCAACACTGCAAATATTGACTCTTTGCATAAACTTAATGTAATTGTCAATAAAAGCCTTTGACACTTATGGAATGCTTGTAATTATACTTCAGTATACCATAGTAACATCTGACAAAAATATCTCATAACACTGAAGCAGCGAACTTTGTGAAGACCAATACTTATGTCATTCTCAAAACTTTTAACCACGACTGTAGACTCAGAGGTGACCAAATCCCTCAATGTTTAACCATTGTTTACATAGTTCTTACCACAATCGGGTTGCCGTGACATCTGTTCTGCACCAACTGTCCCTGAGACTAGTCAAAACATAAAACCTGTTGTTTAACAATTCCGCTAGGGCCTTCTAAACTTGTCAAACAAAAACAACCTTCAAACAATGATCCTCCTTATCTACAGGGGGAAAAGGAAGGTAATCCAGCGTCGGCAGCTCATCAGTCTCACTATCCTCTTGAGGAGCATTAAAGGGATAATTACATTATAGACTGAAATACCATAAGTAACATTACCAGGTTCCCCAGCGTCGGCATTGTTAACGGGTAACAGGTATTGCATCCATTGTAATACATTGTACAATTACATTCTAGTTCACCCAAATGATTACCACCTCCTCCTCTAATACACCAAGGGGCTGTCAACACTTCTGCTGCTGAGATGGGTGGGAGTAAAGCGTTATCTGGCCTAGCAAACGACGGTGGGCCTATGTGGCTGTGTAATGCAGAAAAGGTCATGGGGTCAGGGTTACGTGGCATCTCCTACCATTTGCATAGTCAGATTTACCCCTATGGGAACTCCCACAAGTGGTAAACCTGCTCCAACCTTAACTGGCCCCAACCCACACACCCAACACTCCTTTTGTCATGATTCGCAACCATTTCTGCTCTAGAGAGAAAAAGATTTTCCTCCTTTTTATGAGGGCCCAGCAGGGCTCTCCTCCTCCGATGACCATCTACTTCTGGGCCACCACTCTGGGCCGGCATTGGTCCCTTTCACTCAGGACTCATCCTCTGTCAGGTTTCCTACAAGAGGACAACCTACTTTTCTTATTATCACTCCTGTGCTAACTCTGAGGAGGGCCACACTGCACCACCGGAACTGGCGAGGCCTCATCTTCTCCTGGGTCATGAACTCGTCTGCAGTGCGGCACGTGGATTACAGGTATCTCTCTCAGCAACCTTCACCGCAGTGGGGGTGGTCAGAAGAACTTGGTACGGCCCTCTCCAACGGGGGTCCTTCCAACTCTTTCTCCTGAAGTCTTTCACCACCATGAAATCACCTGGGTTCAAACAGTGTTCAGTTCCACCTGCCAAGTTCGGCAAAGACGCCTTCCATTGAGGGAAGAGAGTCTTAAGAACACTGTTAAGGGTGACACAATACTCAACCATGTCTTCCACCATTCCTTGCAGAGACAACCTGTTCTGGGAAAAAGGTGTATTTGTCATCTGCATGGGACGGCCAGTCAGCACCTCGTGTGGAGAGAGACCTGTGACTGCATGGGATCTGCCTCTCATACTCACCAGTGCCAATGGAAGCACTTTCACCCATGTCAGGCTTGTTTCACCAATCAATTTGACTAATTTAATTTTCAAAGATTGGTTCGCCCTTTCTACCGCACCCCCAGATCGGGGATGATGGGCACAATGGGTTCTCAAATCAATCTGCCTCTGACAGGGAACAATCACATTCACAAAATGTCGACCATTGTCGGAAGAGATATTTGATGGCAGACCCCACCTGGGTATGATCTCTCTCACGAGTGCTTTCGCCACAGCAGCTTCAATCGATTTAGAAAACATGTCAACAATCACCCAACAATACTTGTTCCCCTCACAAGGGGTCAACTCAATGAAGTCCATCATTAAGTGCTCAAAAGGTCCTTCAGGCCTTGGATGGGACGCGGGGGATACTGAAATGCTGCGTCCAACGTTATTAGTCATACAAATCAAATATTTCTTGCAGAAATGTTCTACATCAGCAGAGTGTTATACAGAAACCCAGCCTAAAATCCCAAACAGCAAGCAATGCAGATGTAGAAGCACGGTGGCTAGGAAAAACCCCCTAGAAAGTCAGGAACCTGTCACAGTCTTCACTAAGAAACGTAAACGAGAACCAGTCCTGTGACTCTTCAGCCGCAGGGATGCTGAAGAAAGCATTAGCTAAATCAATTACTGAAAAACAACAACTACCTGGAGGCACCTGGGATAAAATGGTAACAGTGTTAGGCACCAGGGGCGCTCTAGCATGTACAGCGTTGTTTACTATTCTAAGGTCTTGCACAAAACGATAATCACCAGATGGTTTCCTAACAGGTAAAATTGGTGTGTTACATGGTGAATTCGGGCAGGGAACCAGAGTGAGTAATCCCAAAAGCTCCTCCACCAGTGTCCACCAAAAATGGAATTTTATGTTTATTAACTAAAATGTCGATAAGGGGGTTTTGGGTTGACAAGGTGGTCCATATTTGACAGGTTTCTTCTGGTTCTTCATTGTTTTCTTCATTAGTTTCTTCTGTTTCTGCCTCATCCTATAGTTGGTAGTCGTCCACCTCCTCTTCCAAATGGGTTGTTCAGCTGCACGCCCACAGGTGGGGACGGCCACTCTCTTTAGGCTTCTCCTGCTCCAGCACAGTGTCTTGAAAGATGCCCTAACTTCCCACAGTTGTAGCAGCTCCAGTCTCTCCTTCGGTCAGCTCCAGCAGGGGCCCCTCGGCCTCTTGCCTCTTTTGACCTCCACGGTTGCCACCATTTTCTCTATGTCCTCTTCCTCCATCGGAGTAGTACATCAGCCGTGCCTTCTTCAGTGTCTTTCCTGCTTTGTCCTTCGTCGCTGCTTCTCCTTTTATCTTCGTCTTGGCTACTTTCTTCTTCATTCTTCATGCTTGCACTCCTTAATTTGCTTCTTGCTTTTCTACATTCTTTTTTCCCCTTACGTTTCTCCAGTTCTTTTCTGAGCTCTTCTAGCTTCTCTTTTTCGATCTCCCTCTCCTCTGTCCCTCTCTCTGCTTTTTTCGCGCTGGTCCTTGTTTTTGCTGGTAGGTTTCTGTCTTCAGCTCCAGCACCTTCTGCAGCTCCTTCAACAGCTCCTAATCCCAAAAGCTCCTCCACCTGGCGCAGGCCCCAAATGGGTTATGAGGAGGTGGGGGAGGCCACCATCTCTGTCTGCTGGTGGAGGATTTGGCAGTGGCGGTTACAATGAAAAGGTTCCCCTCGGAGAAAGGGCCAGCCAGGATTCTTCTTTTTCTTTTCTTTTTTTTCATCTTCCTCTTGCTTCACCATCAGTCCTCTTACAGCTTTATCCTTTTTGTGTTTTCTGCTTCTCTCTCCCACTTTCTGAAATCGTCCATTTTAACTTTTCTTGTGTTTTCTTTCTTTATTTCAAGTTGGCCTCTCTCACAGATGCCAGTTTTTCATTGCTCAGTGTCCCATCAACAAGGAAATGTCCATCTTGTCCAGTCTTCTGTTTGGTTCAGTACTCCCCTACCGTTTTTTCCACCCATTACACTACACGGCCCTTTTGGTTCCCAGCACGGATCCTCCATCCTACTCGTACTAGTTCCCTTTCCCATACTCAAACCCTTTGTTGAACTCTTTAGGAAAAAAACGTCCAGCTTAATAACACATCATCTCACACAAAACAGTAGACGTGTCCCTCAGAGGTACGCAGATCAGGTATCTTCCCTCGGGCAGCTCACAGTAAAAGTCTGATCTGGGCGGCATCCACGTCGTCTTTGGTCAGACGGGAATTCCCCTTGCACGCCTTCACACAGAATGCGCCACCGGTGTTCCCTCGCAGACCTTCACTGGGATGCTCCACAGGTGGAATCACTGATCAAGTTCGTGACGCCAAGATTGTGGTGGAAATTCAACACCAGGGACACCTGAAGTCAATATTGAATGAATCACTCTTTATTATCAGCAAGCTGGAGAGTTTACAACAAACTCTGCACACAGTAGAGGTCGATCAGAAGATCCGCCGGGGCGGTCCCTTCAGTTCTCTTATATACTGCTTACACAGACATATTTGCATGATTTACATTATTCATTATTCATCATTAACGTTGGCTCCAGCTTCTGACTGACCAATACCTCCCGAGGATTCCTCTCTCCAAGTTGAGACCTTGAAACTGAGATGCCTCGGTTCCCATAGCAATGTTCTAGGCGTACTGCCAAGTTGCTTATCAGTGATAGTGCGGTTTCCTCCATACATGATCAGTCAGTCACCTGCATGAACCCATCTAATTGGTTATTAGAAAAGTAGCATTGATTTGATACACGAACATAAAATTTTCCCCTCACGTGATATTTCAGTTTAGTATTTTTAATACATCTGCAAATATTTCTAAACCTGTTTTTGCTTTGTCATTATGGGGTATTGTATGTAGATTGATGATATATATATATTTTAAACTGTTCAATCCATTATATAAGGCTGTAACGTAACAAAATGTGGAAAAAGTCAAGGTTTCTGAATACTTTCAGAATGCACTGTATGTATGGAAGGTTTCGTTCAAATCAAAAGGGGTGCTGTCAAAAAGTTATTGAATTCAAATGGATTTACCCTCAAGTAAAAGTGAAAGTCACCCAGTAAAATACTACTTGAGTAAAAGTATTTGGTTTTAAAAGTAAAATAATAAATAATTTCAAATTCCTTATATTAAACAAACCAGACGGCATGATATTATTGTTTTTATATGCGGCTAGCCAGCGACACACTCAAACATTTACAACAAAGTGTTTGTGTTTAGTGAGTCCGCCAGATCAGAGGCAGTAGGGATGACCAGGGATGTTCTCTTGGGGCATTTGTAATATCGCAAATGAATGATTCACCAGTAAGGATTCCAGCTTTAAGTAGTACTTCAACTTAGTTACTTTACACCACTGGAAAAGTCATTTAGTATTGATAGTCAAGCTGACTTGCTATGTTGTTGATGTTCTCTTAGTTTTAGCAAGATGCCAAAGACATTTCCTGGTGGCTGGTGGTCCAACATATACAAGGGTTTCTCTTGTTGCACCCAGACATCTCCCTGTTAGGACCTATGCTGCCGCAAAGTAAGTCATTTAACCTACACACACACACACATATCGAATGCTCTCCAGGTTCTCCTTTCACAAAGTCAGATTGAACATAAAATGTGTTGTTTGCTGAATGAGCATTTACATGTAGGCCAAGCATTTATCTTAGACATTATTATTATTATTATTATTATTATTATTATTGTCCTCAGACAAATAAAACACAAACATATTTTCTCTCTACAGGGCTTTGAACAAACACATACATATTTTCTCTCTACAGGGCGTTGAACAAACACAAACATATTTTCTCTCTACAGGGCGTTGAACAAACACAAACATATTTTCTCTCTACAGGGCGTTGAACAAACACATACATATTTTCTCTCTACAGGGCGTTGAACAAACACATACATATTTTCTCTCTACAGGGCGTTGAACAAACACAAACATATTTTCTCTCTACAGGGCGTTGAACAAACACATACATATTTTCTCTCTACAGGGCGTTGAACAAACACAAACATTTTCTCTCTACAGGGTGTTGAACAAACACAAACATATTTTCTCTCTACAGGGCGTTGAACAAACACAAACATTTTCTCTCTACAGGGTGTTGAACAAACACACATCTTTTCTCTCTACAGGGCGTTGATCAAACATATTTTCTCTCTACAGGGCGTTGAACAAACACAAACATATTTTCTCTCTACAGGGCGTTGAAAAAAGACAAACAAGATGACAAAGAGAAAAAAGTGGAGAAGAAAAATAAGAATGTTATAGACGACACAGGTCGTCACAAACCGTATGGGCTGACGGCGTGGGTGCCGGTGGATGACGTGTACGTGACCAGGTTCTACCCCAAGCCGGTGCATGAGACAGCGGTGGCCGTGGACCTGCTGAAGAGTTTTCAGAAGCTGGACTATACACCTCTGGACCAGCCAGTTTATATCAACTTCAAGTTGGACATGAAGCTGGAGAAAAAGGTACGGACTAGCAGAAGATGTCTGATTTTGATATAGTTCTTGTCTTCTTACAGCGTGTTGTTTTCAAAGGGAACTGTCGGAGCTTTCAGCGTGTCGTTTTCATAGGGAACGGTCGGAGCTTACAGCGTGTCGTTTTCATAGAGAACTGTCGGAGCTTTCAGCGTGTCGTTTTCATAGGGAACTGTCGGCGCTTACAGCGTGTCGTTTTCATAGGGAACTGTCGGCGTTTACAGCGTGTCGTTTTCATAGGGAACGGTCGGCGCCTACAGCGTGTCGTTTTCATAGGGAACTGTCGGCGCTTACAGCGTGTCGTTTTCATAGGGAACGGTCGGAGCTTACAGCGTGTCGTTTTCATAGGGAACGGTCGGAGCTTACAGCGTGTCGTTTTCATAGGGAACGGTCGGAGGTGCTCTAGTATTGTTACGTCACCAGCATGTTGAGAAGAAAGGAGCTAACATGGCAGCCGTTCTAAAACCTGGCCAAACTCTTAATACATGGCTCTGCATGAATCCAGTTTCTGGATGTAAAAACGCACAGTTCATAATCGTCACACGAGGCGCCGCTATATGGCCTGTATATTAGGTGGTGGATGTCACTCCTCCCAAGGGTTTCATGTGGCATAAAATGTATGCTTTGAGCCCCTCACAGTTCCCCAGGAGAGTCTCCAATGTCCCTGTCTGTGGAGTAGCACTGACATGTTCCCTCCATTAAAGCAGCAATCTGCAGTTCAAACAATAACAAAATGTCAAACCTGCCACTGTTTTGGTAAAAGGCTAAGGGATGGGGCTGGAAAATAACCACTCTCAAATTCATAGACATAGCTATGGATGCAAGGTCTAACCAGCCATGATATCAATATTATAGTTTTAACCATGTTTATGGCTATACAGTGTTTGTTTACAATTACATTGTTTACAAATAAATAAAACATGCATTTATTTTGGGTTCCTATGGGTTAGACAGTTTGACTAAGCTCATGTTATATTAAAGCAGTAAGGCACGAGGTTACCAACTGTCCTGACGTGACTTTCATTATTGTGATGACTATTATTTATCGAATAATTACCTGCTATGTTTAATTGTTACTTGATTAAATTAATCATGTAACAATTAACTCAATAGGAATTTGGGGCACCACAGGAGAAGTTGTTTAACGAGTTGCCATTTCTAAAGATATCTCTTTATCATTTTAAGTCATTTATTAATAATTTACCTCATATCAGTCTCATTCTGAAAGTCGTAGGCTCTTTAAGTCTGCACGAACCCGGGTCTTACTGATCATTCCGTGCCACACAAATTGATTTCATTATCTATTTACTAACTCATTAAAAAATGATAACACAAGATACAAACACGTACACGGTGTAGGCAGGGATTAGAAACTTAACACAATATGACACTTGTTACAAAAGTGGCGAGTTAAAGAGGGAGGGAGAGAAAACACTTGGAAACATATGGACCAATGCTCACAGTAATCCTAATACTTTGCCCCGAACTGCCGCCCGTTTGGGAAAGAAAAGCAATGCATGTATTTACGTGTTGGAGGTCTTCATCGTGTATCTCTGTTGGACCCAGTCCTTCGTGGGAAGGGGTTGATTGGGCCTTCTCTTTCGGATGGCCTTTTAGATGTAAGGCTCAGATTGTCCACAAGAGGTCACAGTGTCCTTCTTCTTAGTTGTCTGTTTACTTTCACTCGTTCTGGAAGTGGTCTTCTGAGGACGGCTAATCAGCCGTGTCGATGATCCCCTGTGGGGTGATGAGAGCAGTGTAGTAGACGATGGCTTGAAGAGAGTAACAGGATGGTCCCACTTAAATTCACCTTCTTAGATACAGTACTTAGAACAGCTACTCAGCCGTAACATTAATTGTTAGTGGAGGCAACGTTGTCGTCTTCACCTCATGTTGATTTTCAGGGTCGGGACCAATATGGACAAAAGCTGCAGCTTGAGGTCCGTCTGATCTGATAATTCTTATCTCAATCTTTTATGCACTCTGGTAAAGAGGGGCGTTTCCATCATACTGACACGCTCTCTGAGCTCCCTCAGGCGTGACTAGTTACGAGGCAAAAGTTTTGTTAGAAAGCTAAAATCACATTCCTATCTTCACGAAAACATTGTCTTACTCCTTGATATTTTCTACCCAAGGTAAAGGCTGTGTAAACCTGATATACACAGTGTAAAAGCTCTTCAAGTCACAATGTTTTCCTTATAACACCTTTATACCATTTTTAATGACATCACAAAATATACATTAATTTTCCATATTCCATTTCTCATCATTACCAACGTTTGCATTTTTGAAATATATTGTCCCAATGTTCATTGTTGGATGTTGAAGTTTTTGGGCGGCAAAAAGTATCTGGGAAAAAAAGGCATCCCTTTCACCATACTAGAGTGCCAGAGAGATTCTCCTCTCTAATTTATGGCAGTATTAACGTGTCAGGACCGGCACAGCCCCCTGTGGGTAGGAGGGTGTGGTTGTTGTCGGCCATTTGCCAAGCTGGATGTAGTCTATCACAGTGCCATCCGTTTTGTCACCAAAGCCCCATATACTACCCGCCATTGTGACCTGTACGCTCTTGTTGGCTGGTCCTCACTACATATTCGTCGCCAAACCCACTGGCTCCAGGCCATCTATAAATCACTGCTAGGCAAATCCCCGCCTTATCTTAGCTCATTGGTCACCATAGCAACACCCACCCGTAGTCTGCGCTCCAGCTGGTCATCCCCAAAGCCAACACCTCCTTTGGCCGCCATTCCTTCCAGTTCTTTGCTGCCAATGACTGGAACGAATTGCAAAAATCTCTGAAGCTGGAGACTCTTATCTCCCTCACTAACTTTAGGCATCAGTTGTCAGAGCAGCTTACCGATCACTGCACCTGTACACAGCCCATCTGAAATTAGCCCGCCCAACTACCTCATCCCTATATTGTTATTTATTTTGCTCATTTGCACCCCAGTATCTCTATTTGCACATCATCTCTTGCACATCTATCATTCCAGTGTTAATACTAATTGTAATTATTTTGCACTATAGCCTATTTATTGCCTTATCTCCATAACTTGCTACATTTGCACACACTGTATATATATTTTCTGTTGTATTTTCGACTTTATGTTTTGTTTTACCCCATATGTAACTCTGTGTTGTTGTTTTTATCGCACTGCTTTGCTTTATCTTGGCCAGGTCGCAGTTGTAAATGAGAACTTGTTCTCAACTGGCTTACCTGGTTAAATAAAGGTGAAATAAAATAAAAGCTGATGTGAGGCCTTTGATCCTCACCCAGGGAGAGTCATGACACAATGTAATTAGAGCAGTAAAACATAATGTTTTCATTTAACAGACGCTCTTATCCAGAGCGACCTACAGTTAGTGAGTGCATACATTTTCATACTGGCCCCCCGTGGGAAACGAACCCACAACCCTGGTGTTGCAAGCACCATGCTCTACCAACTGAGCTACAGGGGGCTGTATATAATGAAGATTATATACTGGGTGGTTCAAGCCGTGAATGCTGATTGGCTGAAAGCTGTGGTATATCAGACCGTATACCACAGGTATGACAAAACATTACGTTTTACTGCTCTAATTACGTTGGTAACCAGTTTATAGCAGTAAGGCACCTTGGGGGTTTGTGATATATGGCCAATATACCACGGCTAAGGGCTGTATCCAGGCGTTCCGTCGTGCATAAGAACAGCCGTGGTATATTGGCCATATACCACACGCCCTCGGGCCTAGTGCTTAAATGATCGATGGCCATATACAGTGCAGTAAGGAAGTAAGTATACCAATGAAGAATTATTATTTTTGGACTTATTGTATTTGGACATATGCCTGGGGCGGCAGGTAGCTTAGTGGTTAAGAGCGTTGTGCCAGTAACCGAAAGGTCGCTGGTTCTAATCCCCGAGCCGACTAGGTGAAAAATCTGTCGATGTGCCCTTGAGCAAGGCACTTAACCCTAATTGCTCCTGTAAGTCGCTCTGGATAAGAGCGTCTGCTAAATGACTAAAATGTAAAATGTAAAACACTATTGACAGATAAAGATAACCTAATTGAACAAATAACACTTAAATCGTTGCTGTAATTGAGAATGTGTTCTCAGTCAACTTACCTGGTAAATTAAGGGTAAAATAAAAAAGCTGAAGCTGAACTGGAAGTTTATCAAAAGTAAGAAATGGAGGGTGATTGAGTAAAAGCCCAGATCTTAATCCTATAGAAATGCTGAGGGGGACTTGAAGCGGGCCTTACATGCAAGAAAGCCCTCAAACATCACACAAGAGTGGGCAAAAACCCCTCCCGGTCGATGGAAAAGACTGATAGAAACACCTACATGAAGTGATTTCTGCCAAAGGGGGAAACACAAGCTATTGAAGTGAGGTGTACTTTTTTTTTTTTTTTCGCAGAAGGAATTGGCATTTCTGTAGATTTTTGTTAAATATATGGTTGCAAATATAATTTGAGGTTATTTGTTAAATTAGGTTACCTTTATCTGTCGGTGCTGAAATGAAGATCATATGTCCAAATATGTAAAAACAAACAAAAAAAACTTTTCAGGGGGTGGACATGGTTCCTCACAGTACTGTATCATGAATATAAAAGTCCAAAAATTGATGTAGAAATCATAGATCGCCTTTAACTAGGCAAAGCTGATGTTGAAATGCAGAAACCATTCAGAGCGCTCAAAACCAAGATAAAACATTTAACAGGGAGGAAAGAATTTAATAGTTGATTTAAAGAAGAGGTCGGTTGCGTCTCAAATGGCACCCTATTCCCTATGTAGTGCACTGCTTTAGACCAGAGCTCTCTTCAAAAGTAGTACACTATATAGGGGATAGGGTGCCATTTGGGAGGCACACATTGTGTTGTCATGGTGACCTACAGTATGTCATGGAAGTCTAGGAAGGTAAATATTGCTTAGTAAAATGCAGATTTCTTCATCTGCTATGCGCATATTTGTTTTTATGTAGGCGTTGAGGTCACAGCAGCACAATGATGTATTGACATGCTTGTTTTGAATCTTCTCTTCCAGAAAAAAGTGGATCCCTTTGTCAGCACAGTTCATTTGCCACACCCGTTCAAGACAAAAGTCAACAAAGTTGCAGTTTTCACAGAGGTAATTTATCTGACTACTATCAACTATTATCAACTGCTGGTATCAATTGATAAATACTGTTAGCACTTTTTAATCTCCCTTCATCCTAACTAAATATTAATTTGATAGGTCTGCTGTGTCTTCCTTGATGGACCTTGCTGAGTTCCTCCAAAGTCATTTATATTTTAATCAGTCATTCTATTGAAATTCTTTGTTGAGCTGGCAGTGATGTATGAAAATACATGATCTGTATGTCAACTAGCATGATTCAGTAAAAGAGGCTTACAGCCTGAGTTAGTAAGAAAGTGTCGCTAGCAACATCAAGGTCGTGGGTTCAATTCCCACATTACGCATACAAAACATGTATGCACTCACTGTACTGTAAACGTCTGCTAAGTGGCATATAAACTCAGCAAAAAAAGAAACATCCTCTCACTGTCAACTGCGTTTATTTTCAGCAAACCAAACGTGTGTAAATATTTGTATGAACATAACAGGATTCAACAACTGACACATAAACTGAACAAGTTCCACAGACATGTAACTAACATAAATGGAATAATGTGTCCCTGAACAAAGGGGGGGGGGGGGGGTCAAAATCAAAAGTAACAGTCAGTATCTGGTGTGGCCACCAGCTGCATTAAGTACTGCAGTGCATCTCCTCCTCATGGACTGCACCAGATTTGCCAGTTCTTGCTGTGAGATTTTACCCCACTCTTCCACCAAGGCACCTGCAAGTTCCCGGACATTTCTGCGGGGAATGGCCCTAGCCCTCACCCTCCGATCCAACAGGTCCCAGACGTGCTCAATGGGATTGAGATCCGGGCTCTTCGCTGGCCATGGCAGAACACTATAATTCCTGTCTTGCAGGAAATCGTAGAGCATGGCGCTTGTAACGCCAGGGTAGTGGGTTCGATCCCCGGGACCACCCATACGTAAAAATGTATGCACACATGACTGTAAGTCGCTTTGGATAAAAGCGTCTGCTAAATGGCTTATTATTATTATATTATTAAATCATGCACAGAACGAGCAGTATGGCTGGTGGCATTGTCATGCTGGAGGGTCATGTCAGGATGAGCCTGCAGGAAGGGTACCACATGAGGGAGGAGGATGTCTTCCCTGTAACGCTCAGTGTTGAGATGGCCTGCAATGACAACAAGCTCAGTCCGATGATGCTGTGACACACCGCCCCAGACCATGATGGACCCTCCACCTCCAAATCGATCCTACTCCAGAGTACAGGCCTCAGTGTAACGCTCATTCCTTGGACGATAAACGCAAATCTGACCATCACCCCATGTGAGACAAATCCGTGACTCGTCAGTGAAGAGCACTTTTTGCCAGTCCTGTCTGGTCCAGCGACGGTGGGTTTGTGCCCATAGGCGACGTAGTTGCCGGTGATGTCTGGTGAGGAACTGCCTTACAACAGGCCTACAAGCCCTCAGTCCAGCCTCTCTCAGCCTATTGCGGACAGTCTGAGCACTGATGGAGGAACTGTGACCTTAATTGCCTACCGTCTGTAAACTGTTAGTGTCTTAACGACCGTTCCACAGGTGCATGTTCATTAATTGTTTATGGTTCATTGAACAAGCATGGGAAACAGTGTTTAAAACCTTTACAATGAAGATCTGTGAAGTTATTTGGATTTTTACGAATTATCTTTCAAAGACAGGGTCCTGAAAAAGGGACGTGTCTTTTTTTTGCTGAGTTTATTATATGAATATATTTTATTAGACTCGTCAGGGTGAATTCTTAGTTAAAATAAACACACTTAATGTAACGTTCCATAACACTGTTGAATTGCAAGTAAGCATTTCACTGTACCGTTTACACCTGCTGTATCCTGTGCACGTGACGAATGAACTGTGATTTTGACATGTTAGTGTGATTGTGAGTTACGTTCATAGATCCCTATGTCAGGAAAGGTCCCATGCATTGTGCTCATACGGTGATACTATGTAAATAAAGGACACTGTTTCTGTGTGTCTGTCTGTTTCTGTACAGAATCCTGATCAAGTTAAAGTAGCCCAGGAGAACGGAGCAGCGTTTGTGGGAGGGGCCGACCTTGTGCAGAGAGTGAGTTTCACAAGTCTCTGTCTCTCTCTCTCTCTCTCTCGCTCTGCTCTTCTCTGTCTTCTGTCTGTCTGTCTGTCTGTCTGTCTGTCTGTCTGTCTGTCTGTCTGCCTGCTGCCTGCCCTGCCTGCTGCCTGCCTGCCTGCCTGCCTGCCTGCCTGCCTGCCTGCCTGCCTGCCTGCCTGCCTGCTGCCTGCCTGCCTGCCTGCCTGCCTGCCTGCCTGCCTGCCTGCCTGCCTGCCTGCCTGCCTGCCTGCCTGCCTGCCTGCCTGCCTGCCTGCCTGCCTGCCTGCCTGCCTGCCTGCCTGCCTGCCTGCCTGCCTGCCTGCCTGCCTGCCTGCCTGCCTGCCTGCCTGCCTGCCTGCCTGCCTGCCTGCCTCCCTCCCTCCCTCCCTCCCTCCCTCCCTCTTTGTTTTAGTTAATGTCTCAACCTGTTGTCCTTAATGATTGTAGATCTTAGATGATGAAGTGGATGCGGACTTCTACGTAGCCGTCCCAGACATGATCTCCAAACTACTGCCTCTGAAGAACAAATTACGCAAGAAGTTCCCTAAGAACAAGAGAGGTAGGTCACACTCCCGTAATCAATCAATCAATCAAAATGTATTTACATATATAGTCCTCTTTTACATTTGACGAAAGTAACCCGGCCTTAGAACCCCCAAAGAGCAAGCAGAAGCACAGTGGTGAAGAAACTCCCTGGAAGAAAGAAACGTTGAGTAGAGCGGGGCGATATGGACAAAATACATATTGTGACAAATTGCCTGAATTGATGAGATGATACATTTTAGTTTCTAACATTAATCTGCACCACAGTTTTTGAAATACTGCTAGTTTGATGGTTGCAGCCATCAATTGTCCCATTTAAATATCACTCATATTAGCAAATGTATTTACTTTGAAACTTCACATTTCTTTAGTATAGGCTACTTATCATAATGAACGATATCGGCAAAATGCCTGCGATAAGTGATCGTTATGGTCGGTGTCATAATTTTCGGTTTATCGCCCCAGCTTTACTTGAGAGGAACCAGGCTCAGAGAGGTTAGGAGTACATGATAACCATGTTTCTCACTCTCTCTCACCCTTTCAGGGTCGGTTGGAGTCGACATTCCCAAGATGCTGGAGTTGTTCAAGACTGGCCATGAGTACGTAGTGGAGAAGGACACTGTCATCACTAGAGTCGGCACGGTAAGTCTGAAGGAACACTGTCATCACTAGAGTCGGCACGGTAAGTCTGAAGGAACACTGTCATCACTAGAGTCGGCACGGTAAGTCTGAAGGAACACTGTCATCACTAGTGTAGACACGATAAGTCTGAAGGCACACTGTCATCACTAGAGTCGGCACGGTAAGTCTGAAGGAACATGTCATCACTAGTGTAGACACGATAGTCTGAAGGACACTGTCATCACTAGAGTCGGCACGTAGTCTGAAGGAACACTGTCATCATAGAGTCGGCACGGTAAGTCTGAAGGAACACTGTCATCACTAGTGTAGACACGATAAGTCTGAAGGCACACTGTCATCACTAGAGTCGGCACGGTAAGTCTGAAGGAACACTGTCATCACTAGAGTCGGCACGGTAAGTCTGAAGGACCACTGTCATCACTAGAGTCGGCACGGTAAGTCTGAAGGAACACTGTCATCACTAGAGTCGGCACGGTAAGTCTGAAGGCACACTGTCATCACTAGAGTCGGCACGGTAAGTCTGAAGGCACACTGTCATCACTAGAGTCGGCACGGTAAGTCTGAAGGAACACTGTCATCACTAGAGTCGGCACGGTAAGTCTGAAGGAACACTGTCATCACTAGAGTCGGCACGGTAAGTCTGAAGGAACACTGTCATCACTAGAGTCGGCACGGTAAGTCTGAAGGAACACTGTCATCACTAGAGTCGGCACGGTAAGTCTGAAGGAACACTGTCATCACTAGAGTCGGCACGGTAAGTCTGAAGGAACACTGTCATCACTAGAGTCGGCACGGTGAGTCTGAAGGCGTTGGGAATTGCCTACAATCATTCATACACCCAAACCATAAGCATATGTGTGTAATCTTCACATACCAAAAATGTCTACCAGATTCATACGTTACTAACATGCTGTATTCCTGTTCTAGAGTAACTACAGTGTAATTGTTGTGGGGGCGATTGCCCAATGTTCAATTAAAATCTCCCTACCATCATATCTAAGCCAATATGACACCAATGTCGTTGAAAATTCGCAAATCAACTAGGAGGTACACAACACCCTCCCCACCTCTCGTCATGAGCTGTCCGGCCGTTACCGAGAACCACATTCCAGATAATTTAACAGGGTCATTAGCTATTTAGTTTTCAGAGTATTTTCTGCACCCACATGCTCAAATTCTAGACGTCGGATTAAAACCAGACTATAGCATCCATGAAGTGAGCCTTGGATTAAAATAATGTCAGATTGACTACATTTGTAGGTGCAACGGTTTTTATTATATGTATAATTTATCGCTCTCGTGCTCATTTCTGTCCATTATGAACCAACAACGTGCTACCTTTTTTTTGTAACATTTCTGACAATGCTAACGTCTTTTCAGCCGAATCTCACGCGTTCTAAAACCGGACCAAAACACATGGGCTGCGCAGCAACAGTAGTAGCTAGTTAACATCAGTCGTATGAGAGGAAAGCTACAAGCAAAGGAAAGTAGCTATATTTAGCTATGGAAGATATATGTGTAAACTGTTGGCCTTGACACTTGCGTGTAATCAGAGCACAAACAAATAAGCACAAATAAGATGGCGAACATCCGTGGCTGCTATTGCCAGTTAGCTAGCCAACTAACGTTAGCCAGTAACATTGGCTAGCTACAAGCCAAGAAGGCTGTTGTAACATTAGCTAGCTACACAGCTGTTGTAACGTTAGCTAGCTACACGGCTGTTATAACGTTAGCTAGCTACAAGCCAACCAGGCTGTTGTAACGTTAGCTAGCTACAAGCCAACAAGGCTGTTGTAACGTTAGCTAGCTACAAGCCAACCAGGCTGTTGTAACATTAGCTAGCTACTAGCAAACAAGGCTGTTGTAACATTAGCTAGCTACAAGCCAACCAGGCTGTTGTAATGTTAGCTAGCTACAAGCCAACAAGGCTGTTGTAACATTAGCTAGCTACAAGCAAACAAGGCTGTTGTAACGTTAGCTGTATAATAGTAATATATTTATTTTACAAAGTGCTTTTCATTACAAGTAGAATCAGTCGCTTTAAAAACAAAAAATACAAACTTTAACAAAACAAATGTAGGGATCTGGCAGTTCTTGGGCGAGGATCTCTCACAGCTTTAGATTATAGGCATTTCAGAAGGGTATTATCTCGAGGGGAGGGTATATGGATGGGTCATACACCGGCACGACTCAATGTTGACAATTTAGCTATCCCACATTCTTCCACAAAGAACACCTAGCTAAGTAAAGTTCATAATCAACACCATACTTTAGGAAACTGCCACAGTGCTAATGTATAATACATGCAATGGGCATTGCTCATCTAACGTTCGCTTACGTTACTCCATACACTAGTATGGTCCTCTGTAGCTCAATTGGTAGAGCATGGCGCTTGTAACGCCAGGGTAGTGGGTTCAATCCCCGGGACCACCCCATACGTAAAAATGTATGCGCACATGACTGTAAGTCGCTTTGGATAAAAGTGTCTGCTAAATGCCATATTATTATTATTATTATTATTATTATTATTATTATTATTATATTATATAGTCACTGGGTTGCTTGACAATGTAGCTAGCTAACATTACAGCCCTAACTTTATGCATTGATTCCCTCTGTCAATGCAATTGTGTTAGCGCACATTTGGATTATAATGACAATGACTGATTGACGGTGTCAAGTTACTTTTCAGTTTATTCCCAAAAACCTGAAGTCGCCATTCCAAGTAAAAAGTAGCTAGGGGTTGCGAGTGCACCCACTTTAAACAACGCCAACATCATTGCTTGCTTGCAGTCAAAAGAGAACTCCATGCTTGCTAACTCGGTTTGCTATGTGACTGTTTTCAACACGTCATCTGTTTTAGACTATTTATTTTAACCAAGCAAGGGAGATAAACGTTCAGTCAATACTGAGTGAATGAACAACAAAAACATTGTGCTGCCCGCTGTCCGGACACACACCACACACACACACACACACCGGTGCGCACACGCAAGTGGCACTGGACTCTCCAATCCTACGGTACATCCCAGGGACACACTGCGGATTGTGTACACCAGCTGATTGACGGAGCACCGGGCCTTCTTTATGACCTTGTTCATCTTCTGGTCCCACTGGAACATCCAGCTCGTCCGCTGTGCGCGAAACATTCGGATGACCACCTCAATCAGCGCGTCTGCTGTCCTCTTGGTGTATGCCAAGTCGTTTCCACCGAAGTGGATGTCAGGGAGAGAAGTAGTTCAGGTCCTCTGCTGGCACTGAACACTGAGCAGTTTGTGCCACTTCATGCCTTGCTCGCCGAGCCACCTAATGTGACAGTCAATAATGTATGTGAATAGTTAATGAGAAGGCTACATTTTTCTGGAGCTTGCTCGATTGTTTTAAGAGAGATCAGGGAAGATTTTTCCAGTTTACTCCATATTGGCTTAAATGGGTTTCTGGTTTTTCACTTCCCTCTGGTATATCAGTTGTTAATATTAAAACAAACAAAAAAACATGTATTCATTCACTAACTGTAAGTCGCTCTGGATAAGAGCGTCTGCTAAATTACTAAAATGTAAAAAAAATGTATTGTGTAGATTGATGAGGGGGAAAAAAAACAATTTAATCCATTTTAGAATAAGTCTAATGTAACAAAATGCGGAAAAAGTCAAGGGGTCTGAATACGTTCCGAATGCACTGTATATATCTCATTAGGCTGTGTGTCGTTTTAGATATAGGCCTATTGTAAATGTATAGTATTGTAGCGTCACCATCTTTATTGCAAAAATAAATACAAACATCACTTTAAGCTCCATATTCATCTGACGGAGGTAATGAACTGTCCATTGATGAGCACAGCAGTTGATATAACAGGACCATGTTTGCACACAAGTGATTCTGAGCTTATGTCAGTATTCTATAGGTAAGCTAGCGGTTACAGTAATCAGGAATGCAGACAATCTAGCTCCTATCTGTATGAGTGACTGTCCAACACCACCAGTTGTTATGTTGACCAAAAAAAGTTATTATGAAAGAAAGACAATTCTCAATGACGTATTTTATAAAATAAAAGTTTAAGGAAATACAGGCACCATATTACGACAAAACAGCCCACTCAATCAAGCCTGGTGGTCTTGTAAGTGTATATATTAGCAAAGATTGCTTTCATGGGCTAGTTGAGTGACTGTCAGTGACTGACATAACAAGAGAGATACTGCTGATGCACAACCACATTTCAAAATGGCACCTCGTCTATTCCACTATTCTAACTCTCAACATGGTCCTCTGTAGCTCAGCTGGTAGAGCACGGCGCTTGTAACGCCAAGGAAGTGGGTTCGATCCCCGGGACCACCCATACACAAAAAAAAATGTATGCACTCACTAACTGTAAGTCGCTTTGGATAAAAGCGTCTGCTAAATGGCATATTAATTAATTATTAATTAATTAAAGTTGAGACCTCGAATGAGTCATCCCCTGTTATTGTTATTATTATTTATTTATTTTACCATGGGGCGCCAGTTGCCCATCCCTGTCTTAGTGTGTTGTGTAAAGAATCCAATACTTCACCTTGTATTCGGTACAAATCACATTATCTCGCTTATCACAATGTCTACGTTGCTGCTCGTGGCAACGTCATTTCGCTGAGTCTACCTGTTTTCCTACCCCCAGCTGAACATGCCCAAGGAGCAGCTTATAGCCAACATACAGACTGTCGTCAAGGATGTCTGCTCCCACCGGCCGGCTAGCTTCGGTATGTACCTACCATGAGGATGAATACTTTTTATTTGACAAACACCAGGCTTTTAAAGTGAATCTGTCATATATCACATTGGGCTTTAGAGTTAAAATTCATATGAATGGTGCCTCAGCAATACAAACTTGGATACCACCCACACAGCAAGTGTGTTCCCATCGGCTGGTTATCTTTGGTACGTACCACGATGATGATGATGATGATGATGATTTGTATTTTATTTGACACATTTTAAATATAGTTGCCTCCACAGAGATCCTATGAATTATTCTTTATGTAATTCTATGGTTGCCTCAGACATGCGAGTACAACAATGTACACCTGTATAGTCCCTGTCCCCTGTCCCCTGCTTCAGGGCTCTCAGGGACTTATTTAGGCAGCGAATTGATTAAACTTCAAAACAGCGCTAAATGCTATTAATCGCTCCATGATTTCTCATTATAGTTATTGAACTACACATCCCACATCCATGATTTCTCATTATAGTTATTGAACTACACATCCCACATCCATGATTTCTCATTATAGTTATTGAACTACACATCCCACATCCATGATTTCTCATTATAGATATTGAACTACACATCCCACATCCATGATTTCTCATTATAGTTATTGAACTACACATCCCACATCCATGATTTCTCATTATAGTTATTGAACTACACATCCCACATCCATGATTTCTCATTATAGTTATTGAACTACACATCCCACATCCATGATTTCTCATTATAGTTATTGAACTACACATCCCACATCCATGATTTCTCATTATAGTTATTGAACTACACATCCCACATCCATGATTTCTCATTATAGTTATTGAACTACACATCCCATGATTTCTCATTATAGTTATTGAACTACACATTCCACGGCACTGGGCTGGCAAAACTATTTAATACAAAGCCTTGCAAATGCAATGTGATAGTGTGCTAGATGGGTGTGTTTTTGCCTCCAAACAAACCAAACCCACACATTTTTATGAGGTTTTCTGACTGAAAGAGCGGTATGTCATTATGAGAAACAGGCAGCGTCCCAAATGGGACCCTATTCCTTATATAGTGCACTACTTTTGACAGAAGCCCTGTGTGTCCTGGTCAACAGTAGTGCACTATACAGGGAATAGGTTTCAATTTGTGTGACCACAGGTATGTTGTGAGAACTGAGATAAGAATGTATCTGAAGCGATTTGGTGTGGGCGAGAGGAATGCAATTTATTTGTTTTATCTGACGGACAGCCGCCTTTAACCACCTCGTTGAGTTTTTCGTTTGACACGCATACACACACACACACACATATAACACACACCCACAGACACTAGATCCAACACACCTGGGGATCTGTACACCTGTGTGAAGTGAAGTTCTAATAACTAACATCATCTTTTAAAAATATTTATGAACTTAATTTGATGAGACAGAGAGCAGAATTTGCCATCCATCGAGCTGGACTCAACCATTACTTCCATGTTAATCCTCCCAGTCATTTACTGGCCAACAAGCTACGCAGTAATAATCAATTAGCTGATATAGCAACTATTGAATCTGAAACAGGAGAATTACTATCAGAACCCAAATGAATCAATCAAAGATTCTCCTGCTTCTATAAAGAACTTTACACTTCTGATTGTAAATCCAAACCAAGCCAGACTAAGTCATTTCTAAAAGAATTTAGAACTCGTCTTCTCTCAGCAGTGGAAGCAATCTCGCTTGGAGACACAATCTCTCAATTATCTCAAAAGGACACTGGATAGAATGAATAAAGGCAAATCACCTGGATTGGACGGTATTCATTCTGAGGTCTTTTTAAAAATGTTGGGATCAATTAGTTCCGCTATTGCTCGAAATGATTAACACAGCAGTTCACAAAGGTTCATTTAGGAGAGATGTGGTTTAAGCTTTTATAAAAAAATAAGGTAATGATGCCAGCCAGTGTTCTCACTATCGCCCCCTATCTTTAATAAACACGGATATTAAACTGTTTTCCAAAATGTTGTCGTCCTGTTTTCGAGACTTAGTTACCCAAATTGATCCACACGGACCAAAGCGGGTTTGTTAAACGTTTATCCTCGGATAACCTCCGACTATTACATCTCTTAAATGCTTCATCAGAAAAAACAGGTCCTTGAGCTGTATTATCTCTCAATGCAGAAAAAGCTTTGATAGACTAGAATGGACATATCTCTGGTCTGTCTTGGAACATATGGGAATTGGCTCCAATTTCATTAATATGATTAAAATACTATATGCAATCCCTCAGCCATAGTTATAACAGGCAACATCTGCTCCGCTCCGTTCAGCATCACTAGAAGCAGCAGACAAAGCGATCCAATTTCTCCTTTGCTATTTTTATTATCCGTGGAACCCCTTGTCCAGGCAATTCGTCAATCGATGGAAATAACACACATTTCCCTCAAATCTACTGATGACGTCATCTCATTATACATAGACGATATTTGACTATATCTAGACAATGTATCTCAATCACTCCCAAACGCATTGAAGATCGTAGACAAATTCAGCTTAATCTCAAATTATAAAATGAACCATCCTAAATTGGTTTAGACATGATTCTTCTGGCCCCTGGCTGAGTGTAGAGAGAAATGTGGTGTCTCCTATTGATCTGGAAGAGGTGTTCTTCACTGATATATCCCTTAAACAATGTAATATGGTATCTCCTATTGATCTGGAAGAGGTGGTCTTCACTGATATATCCCTTAAACAATGTAACTGGGGATCAAAATGGCGTGGCCATTAGTGCTGACCCCATTTAGTCCACTGGCCATTAGTGCTGACCCCATTTAGTCCACTGGCCGTTAGTGCTGACCCCATTTAGTCCACTGGCCATTAGTGCTGACCCCATTTAGTCCACTGGCCGTTAGTGCTGACCCCATTTAGTCCACTGGCCGTTAGTGCTGACCCCATTTAGTCCACTGGTAGATTGTTTGGTTGATAGGCTGTTGGTCGACCGAGATTGATTTAGTCGAGCGGTCCCAAGTGGCACGCTATTTCCTATTTAGTGCACTACTTTTGAGGAGGGCCCATAGGGCTCTAGCCAAACCTAGTGAACTATACAGTATATAGGCACTATCCTATTGATGTGTCTCTGCACCTCTGTTCAGTTGCCTTTAAAACCCAGAAGACTAGTACTCCTGTCTGTAGGGACATCCTTATGGAATTCCCTACTTAGAACCCAGAAGACTAGGACTCCTGTCTGTAGGGACATCCTTATGGAATTCCCTACTTAGAACCCAGAAGACTAGTACTCCTGTCTGTAGGGACATCCTTATGGAATTCCCTACTTAGAACCCAGAAGACTAGTACTCCTGTCTGTAGGGACATCCTTATGGAATTCCCTACTTAGAACCCAGAAGACTAGTACTCCTGTCTATAGGGACATCCTTATGGAATTCCCTACTTAGAACCCAGAAGACTAGGACTCCTGTCTGTAGGGACATCCTTATGGAATTCCCTACTTAGAACCCAGAAGACTAGTACTCCTGTCTATAGGGACATCCTTATGGAATTCCCTACTTAGAACCCAGAAGACTAGTACTCCTGTCTGTAGGGACATCCTTATGGAATTCCCTACTTAGAACCCAGAAGACTAGTACTCCTGTCTATAGGGACATCCTTATGGAATTCCCTACTTAGAACCCAGAAGACTAGGACTCCTGTCTGTAGGGACATCCTTATGGAATTCCCTACTTAGAACCCAGAAGACTAGTACTCCTGTCTATAGGGACATCCTTATGGAATTCCCTACTTAGAACCCAGAAGACTAGTACTCCTGTCTGTAGGGACATCCTTATGGAATTCCCTACTTAGAACCCAGAAGACTAGTACTCCTGTCTGTAGGGACATCCTTATGGAATTCCCTACTTAGAACCCAGAAGACTAGTACTCCTGTCTATAGGGACATCCTTATGGAATTCCCTACTTAGAACCCAGAATATTTTGGATGTATGTTTATTATTATGAAGGGATGAAATGGGAAGGCAGGTTATAGGTAAGAGGAAGGTCAGCACTTTGCTGTGAAATAAAGGAACATTTTAAAGACTGGTTAGAGGTAAAGGACAGGAAGGCACATGTGGGGATTGAACCCCCGACGCTCTGGGGCGTATGTCGTTCAGGCACTACCAATGGAATAGACCTAGGCGCTGTGGCAAGATATACCTGACACCCCGTCTCTCTTCTGTTGCCTCCACAGGACATTTCATAGAGCGAGCGATCGTCAGCAGTCAGACGAGTGAAGGCCTGCTCTTTAAGAGTGAAGAACTTGTAGAGAAAACCCCAACGAAAAAGGATGTTTGAAGGTGCTTGTGATTTTATGTATTACTGACTGTGTATAATGTATTGAATAAAGTATGAAGGATATTATGGATTTACTGACTGTCTTGTGGACATTTTCATATTTAGAATTGACTTTAAATCGCTCTGGATAATAAGTTGCCTGGTATGGAATGTGAAATAGAATGTGATGTTGTGAGTAAAGGATGGTCAAAGGAGGTTACTGGATAAGAGTCTGCTAAATAACTAACACTTAAATATATTGCTATTACAGTTTTTCTCCATTGGTTTGGCTCATTTCTTGAAACAGAAATTACATTCTCAAAACTACATGGACAAACCTCCAAACCACTTGGCAATTGTTCACAACAGAATTGAATTTCTCATTCATTTCATCAAATTGCAAATGTCTAAGTACATGTCTCAATGTCTCAGTACATCTTTGCAAATGATTAAGTACAGGTAGCCTACATTTAGCACAATTTCCAAGTGAATAGATCTTGTTGATCTAAACTGATTGTTGATTCTCAGTCTAATGGTTGTTCGCTCCAAAACGTGTCAGCGTCATTTCATTGTATAAGTCATCACATGCACAATAGTCTGTTCAATTGTCAAAATTAGTCAAGAACATAATACCATGAATACCATATATGAATCCCTTGGAACATTTGATAAATTTATTACAGCAATTGACAGTCAGAACTAGTCAATTGACACATCTCAATGACCAT